ACACACACACACACACACACACACACACACACACACACACACACACACACACACACACACACACACACACACACACACACACACACACACACACACACCCTTGTTCGTTCCCTTCGTTCACCTGGACAGTGGACATGGACACGCTGATGCGTGAGAGCGACATCATCGTGGCCACGTGCGCGCTGACGCCGGAGACGACCAACATCTTCAACGCGGAGACGTTCAAGAAGATGAAGAACAGCGCCATCATCGTCAACACGGCCCGCGGCGCGTGTGTCGACCAGGACGCTCTCGTCCACGCCCTCAAGACCGGCGAGATCAAGGTCGTGTCGTCGTCGTCGTCGTGTGTGTGTGTGTGTGTGTGTGTGTGTGTGTGTGTGTGTGTGTGTGTGTGTGTGTGTGTGTGTGTGTGTGTGTGAGTTCATTGGAAATGGGCACATTGTCCTGGATATCAAGAAGAAAGAGGAACAAGCAACCCTGAAGTAGCTTGGAGAAAGGAAAGAGGGGGAAGGGGGACTGATGTCAACAAAGTGCGCGTGTACGTGTAGTACACGTGCGTGTGTATCATCGGCAATGGGTAAGGCGAAAGACAATCGTCACCGCACTGGCACGACTGCGTGCATGTCTCTTGTGCGTCGGGGTTGGATTGTTCATGATAATTTCGCTATTGTCCTCATCTGACACACACTCGCACACGCACACACGCACACACGCACGCAACAGCGTGGAAGCGCGGAAGGAGAAGAAGGGAGGAAGAAGGGAGGAAGAAGGGAGGAAGAAGGGAGGAGGGAGGACAAAGGAAGGAGGGAAGCCAACAGGCTGGAGCAATGTCCTTCGTGGAACTCGAACAAACTCCTCTCGAAATTTGCACTGCTTCGCTCAGTTAGAGCGTGCTCACTCACCAGTCAATGTGTGTTGGGAAAGGGTCTGCCTCGCTCGAACGGTGGCACGCGTGGGGTCTGTGTGGTGTTGCCTGCAAGCAAATGCTGGGAGGAAAATGAACCGCCGCGCTCTGCGCAAGTGCGTACTCTCTCAGCTGCTCTTCGGAGCTTCGGCGAGTTGTTTTCTGGCTTGAGGGTGTTTCTCTGTTGGCCACGAAGGTTCACAGCACTTCAAGGCAAGGGTGGGGGTGAATGTTGACCAACAGGACGACAAATCTTCAACAGGACCGCAAATCTTCCACGATGGAGTGGGGACCTGTTTGTGTGGGTTTGCTGTGTTTTGCTTCTTCGATCGCTTGGCTGGCGACGTTGACACGTGTTGGTCCAGCTTGTCGCTGGTCGGATGGTGGTGCGTGTGTGTTGGTCTGTTTGTGTGCATGGGAGAGCGCGTGCGCGCGAGTGAGATTGCGCTGGGCTTGTTTGAACAAAGCACCTCGGTTCTCGGCTGCTTGTCGGGTAGGTTGTTGTGGTTTGCTTGGTGGGCGTGCCTTGTTTGATCTGTGCTTCTCTTCTGGTGGTTTTACTGGCTTATGTTAAGGTAATGTAACATAACTTCAAGGAAGAGTTAGATGCATAAGTCACGAGGCAGTGTGACTGTCGAGCGATCATTGCTCAGGGTTGAAAGAAAAGGTTACATAAAGCAAGTCACGCGCACGCAATGTCGCAAAGCGAGCGTGTGTCGCGTGTCCTGTTGTGCCGTAAGTGAGCAAGGAAATCAAAGGAGCGGCACGGCGCTGCCGTGTCCTCATGTTCTTGTGATCGTTCATGCTTCTTTTTCGAGCTTGAAGCCTGTCCCAGTGATGTGACAAGGTGCCACTGCATCACATTCGCCTGCACTCAAAGGGAGCGTGGGGTAAAGACTCGTGTGAGGTTATGAAGATGTGCAGCATACAAGCGCGAACAGCACTGAGAGACAAAAGAAAAGAAAGTGTGAAGGATACACACACATGTGTGTGCGTGCAGGCATGTCGTCAGCAGGGGAATCGAATACGATCTTCAAGAGAACAACGTTCATTCAGTTGTTGGATTGCTCGCTGTATTAGCTGATTTCGCATCACCCGGCATGCAAAAGGACAAGAGAGGAGCGGAAGGGTGGAAAGAGGAAACAACAGGCTGAAAAACTGTGGAAACAGATGTAAAAGAGCTACAAAGAGAAAGAGGGTGTTGGAGAGCACAGGGCGCGCTTACTTACTTCCAGGTATCAGTGAGGCTGTGAGGGACGCCCTCCTTGGTCCCTGGTCCCAAAGAGTCAGCCATCCTTCCTGCTTGGTAAGCCTGCAGGCAATACACATACACAAACGCCAGACAAGCAGGAGGAAGAACCACACGCGTGAGATTTTCAAAGAGCACCAGAGAGCAACAGTTGCCGACCACTCCAGTACAAAGAGGGAGGAGACAGCGCTCACAGCACGCGCTCTGCCGCCACGACACCCGTCAGCAAGGGAAATCGAAATACAGTTCTTCAAGAACAAGTTCAGTGGCTCGCGAATGTATTTGCGTGTTCGCATCAACCAGGACAGCGTGGGCAGGCTTCTTTGGAGCGAGACAGGGGAAGAGAGGGGGAAGAGAGGGGGAAGGGAGGGGAAAGAAGCGTCAAAGGAGGGAAGGTCATAGTCGTCGTGGCTTACCAATCTTGTCGGGGAGAAAATGGAGAACAGCGCACGCGCGCGGTGCATACGCGTGAGTGCAGGCACAATGTGTGTGCTGTCCACGTGTGCGTGGTCGAAGAAAATGGCAGCCAGCCAACCGAGCCAAGCCGCTGCTGCTGTTGTGTCGTTGTGTTTCTGCGTTTCTGCCGCCTGCTGCTGAACGGCCACAGTACAGCGTCCGCATCGTCCCGATGGTTCCCACGATTATCCACGAATGATTTACAATGGCTTTCGACAAACGGTCTGTGTAGATTTATTATGGAATACTTGGACAAATTTTCGAGCCAAGGCTGCCGCGAAGAAAACAAAACCAGCACAGCGACAAACCGTTTTTTCGGTCTGTGGTGAGTTTGCGTTTGTGATGGTGTTGGGGTGCTGTGGAGTTGTAAGGACTTGCTTGATAATATGTGCCCTTCGCTTCGCACTGCCCGGGATGGGGGGGGGAGCGAGCGGGTTGCTTCGATCGTCACACACACACGCGCACACACAGAGATACAGAAAGCCAAAGATAGAAACACAAGTGGACACAGACACAGACACAGACACACACACACACAGACAGACACAGACACAGACACACAGACACACACACACACACACACAGACAGACACACACACACACACACACAGACAGACAGACAGACAGACACACACACAACCAAGTTCACCCAACAAGCCGGTTCACTTCTGTTTGTCTGCGTGGCTGTTGGTAGTGCAGTTGAAAAGGCTCGAGACAGTGGGCTTGGAAGTTCATAGAACAAAGCCTGAACCATGAGTCGCTACGTGCATCTGCTGAAACCCATCCGGGACCTGGCAGACAATTGGAACGTGGATGTTGCTCGAGAGCTTGAGCGCTACCTCGGCGAGGTGTGCATTTGTGCATGTGTGCATGTGTGCATGTGACCAAGTGGCATTTGCCCGGCAAATGGTGTGCAGATCTTCGCTCACCCACCCAACACCCACCCAACACACAATCACACACACTCACATACACACACGCACACACACATACACACACACACGCACAAACTCCAGATTGAGGAGCTCTCGTTCGAGTTTCAGGGCGAAGAAGGCAACTTCAACTTTGCAGAGGCCGCTTTGCTCATCCAAGGTTCTGCGTGCGTCTACAGTCGCAAGGTAACCAGGACTGCAGTGTCGAGGGAGTGTGTGAGCGTGTGAGTGAGTGAGTGTGTGTGTGTGCGTGTGTGTGTGTGCGTGCGTGGAGAAGATGTGTATCAACAAACGCAACACACACACACACACACACACACGCACTCGCTCGCACACACACACACACACACACACACACTCACTCAATCACACGTACACGCATATGCTGCGCATGGAGCGGGGTTGGAATGGAAGTTGAGCAACGTAGCCTCGGGTCTTGTCATTACTCGTTGTGTCAAACAAAGGCCCACTTGCAGACTTACGCTCAAATTTGCCCTCTCTCGCACACATACACCATACACCCACGCACACGATCACTTGTGCTGCTGTAGGTGGAGTACCTGTACAAGCTTGTCTATGACACGCTCGATCTGCTTGCATCAAAACGGTATGACACTCGTTTGTTCTGACACCCTCACATGCTCTCGGTGCCATTTGAGCTTGGCAACTCACACACACACACACACAGACACACAGACGCACAGACGCACTGTGGCACACACACAGACACACAGACAGACAGACAGACAGGCGCACAGACACACAGACGCACGCACAGACACACACACACACACTCTCTCTCTCTCTCATTTCCTTACAACCCACCCACGCCCCATTCCATCTCACACACAACCACACACAACTCGCAGACTGGCGCAGCACACCTCGTCCATCAACGACAAGGGTGAGGATGCAGACGTGGAGGAGCTGCTCCTCTTGGACAAACAGGCGCAGGAGGAGGTCAGTGCACACCGAGATGACAGGCATACACCTGTTGTGAATAGAACACGGGCTGGAGCAGATGTGTGCTGTTGCGAGGTCTCACCAGCTAGTGCTTCCTTTTCCTGCCCACTCGTGGCGATCTCTGCAGTTTCTGTCTCTGGACGACCTTCCAAACCAGCAGGACGAGGCCACGCTTCGCCTCAAGGAGCGCGAGCGAACACGACGCGTGAGTGTGTGCATGCACGTGGAAAATGCGGCTCGTGTGGGTGTAGCCGTAAACTCTTGGACAAACATGAACGCATCTCAATACCACGAAGCTCTCGTGTGTTCAGTTGAGGTCACCATTCAAACTGCACATCCCTGCATCCGCTCATCCACGCTTCATCCAACCGTCTCCAACACCCAATCCATCAATGTCCACCAACACACACACACACACACAACACCACATGCAGGAGATTGAGGCGCTGAGCCTGAAGTTGATGCCGCCTGCACTGCTCCCCGCCACGAGCGACGTGCCCTCGTCACAGCTCTTTGCAGCCAATGGAACCGCAATTGGCAACAGACACGACTTCAGAGTATGTGTTGTCTTGCTCACAAGTTCGCACAAATGTACATATGCTTGGATGCGTGTGCGTGTGTGAATGTATGCAGCTTTGCGGTTGCAAATTTCTGTGCGTGGGTTGCTCCCACCTCACCTCCCCTTCCTCCCTCCTCACATTCACTTCGCACCCCCCCCCCTCACTTCGGACCCCCCCCCCCCACCCTGCCCATGCTTGCATCCACGGACCAGATGAACACGTCAATTGTGCACGAGTCTGGCGCGCTCCTTCCAGGTTTGGACGACGTGCAGTTGGCTGATCAGACGCTGCCAGTGCCAAGCCGCCCCGCCTCCCAACTCCTCTCCCACATCAGCAACGCCCCACCGCAGGCTGGTGCTGTGGAGGGCGGTGCTCCCATGGCCATAGGCGGAGGTGATGACGACGATGACAACGATGATGGCCTCTTTGCTGGTGACTTTGACCATGGTGATGACGATGATGGGTTTGATGGTGCGGGCATGGGTGATGGCGCTGCTGCAGCAACCAAGCACGTCACATTCCAGACAGGTGTGTGTGTGCGTGTGTGCGTGTGTGTTTGGGATGCGTGTGTTTGGTGCCTGTTGTGGTGTGTGCGTTTGGCTAGCGCTTAGTGTGCTGCGTGTAGTGTGGTAGCTTGTTAGCATGTGCAAGCGCGCTGGCTGTGACGCCAGTCCTTTCTCAAACAACTTCGCCAACATCGCACATGATCACCCCCCCCCCCCCCAACACACACACACACACACACCACACACACACACACACACACACACACACACACACACACCACACACACACACACACACACACACACACACACACACACACACACACACACACACACACATCGCCAAAGGCCCCGGTGCTGGCTCGACGCCCGTGTGGGTGCAGGACAATGATGACGATGATGATCCGTGGGCAAAAGTTGATCCACACAGTCAAACAGACCAGATCACCGCTGCGGCAAGGAGCGCCCCATTCACCAAGCTCAACAGGTGTGCGATTGTTTGTGAGTTTGTTTGTTTGTGTGTGTGTTTGTGTGTTTGTGTGTGTGTGTTTGTTTGTTTGTTTGTTTGTTTGTTTGTGTGCGCGTGTTTGTGTGTTTGCTTGTTTGTTTGTCTGTCTGTGTTTGTGTGTGTGTGCTTGTGCGCTGCGTTTGTTTGTCTCAGCAGCGACATGTACGTTGCTTGCTTGCGCGTGCTGATTTCTGTGCTTGCGCGTGCTAATTTCTGTATTTCGTCCCCCACAATTGTCCCCATGTTTCGTTCTTGTGCACTGACAGCTACCGGCTTCCCAAGTCCATCTCCACGCTTGCAAAGGCAAAAGCACAGAAGACACAGAAGCAGAAGCTGCCGTCGCTGTCCACATTCTTCCAGACAGGTCAGTTGAAACTGCCTGCAGGCACTGCTCAGCAGAACTGCTGATGAACCCTGCATATGACCACCACAACGCGCTCATGCTCCTCTCACCACCAAACAATCCATTGCTGCACGGCCAGTGCGGCAACGGCAAGCCCGGCGCGGCGCGTCTCGCAGCTCGCTGTTGGCCGTCGACCCCGCCTTTGCTGCTGTTGAGCACATTGTGCACAAGGAGGACAGGAAGCGTGCCACTGTTGCCGCACAGCGCCGCAAGCAGCAGAAGCTGGTACGTGCCGCGTGGTGATGGTGGTGATGGTGGTGGTGGTCACTGCTTCAAGTTTGTCAATTACAGGGCGTGTTTTTTTTTTTGTTGCTTTTGCTGCTGTGCATAGGTTGCTTGCGTCGTGTATGCGAAAGTGATACTGCTTGTCATCACGCTGGCTCTTGCGAACACTGACACACTGACTCCCATGCATTTCCCCGCTTGGGGCGCACACAGGAGCAAGAGAAAGCGTTGCAAGAAGTGTGGAGGCAACAGCACGAGCAGTCAGAGGCACAGGCAGACGCTTGGCAAGGTTCGCCGGCATTTGCATCGTGCTTCATTGTTTGCTTGCGTGCATACATGTGCATGTGCGTGCGTTTGCGTGCATGCAAGTACGGGTTTGTGTGTGCGTGGGTGTGCGTGGGCGTGCGTTTATGCGTTGATATGTGCGCACTGCGTTCTGTTGCCTCTCAAGCATCTCCATCCACGCAACTTGCTCTGGGTGCTGCAGGTTTCACGCATTCGGACAACGACAACGACGATGCGTTTGCAGACGACTTCGGAGGCAACGATGACGATGATGATTTTGGCGATGGGGACTTCAACACGGTTGCACACGCGGACTTTGGTCCATCCGAGGTGCGGGCACCAGGTTGCGTTGATTGCATTCTCGTGTGTGAGCCAGCGTGGTGGAGTGGGCTGCACTCGTGTTGTTGTTGCACACTGTCATTCCCAGGGCTTGGTCTTTCATTCTCGCTCAGTGACATCCTCTTTCCCTTTCTCCCTCACCCACACAACCATCATCACCATCATCGCACATCACCATCCATCGTCACTGCCAGGAGTTTGACGTTGCGGAATCCGATGGGAATGCACGTGGTGATGTGGAGGTGACGACAACATACGAGCAGCTCGTTCGCCTGCACGTGGTTAGTGCGGTGCTGTGTTGTGTTGTGCTGTGCCGTGTCGTGTTGTCCTGTGTTGTGTTGTGTTGTGTTGTGCACATTGTAAGATGGTGTAGTTCCATGTGTTTGTGCATCCGATGAAGTTGTGGATTGAAAATACGTATTGTGGAATGTGCACCGTTGCAACATGCCGTAGCGTTTGTGTTCATGCTCGCGTTGGCGTTTGTTCTCATTCAACACTCCATAATGCGTTACCACCCGTGTGCTTCACACCTCCCTCGTCCAATACTCTCCTGCCACAGGCGCGATTTGTTGCAGAGTCACAGAAGTACGTGCAGGAGACTGAGCTCTCGCGTCGCGTGCAGGAGTGGGAGGACCGCATTCGTCCTGTGTTGGAGGAGGAGTCCAAACACCGTCCGTTTGACATTCACGAATACGGATCAGAGGTCCTCGAATCCTTCCCCACAAAGGGCAAACGTGCGTTCAACCCTGCCCCATTTGCTGCACCTGGAATTAATTGTGTGTTTGTGCACATGTGTGTATGCATGTGCGTGAATGTGTGTGTGAGTGAGTGTGTTTGTGTGTTTGTGTGTTTGTGTGTTTGTGAGTGTGTCAATTTCTGTGAATGAGTGCGAAAGGTACGATGGGAGAGTTGGACGCGTGTGTGGTGTGATCAAGCGACGATGGTGTCTTGGCGGCCTTCCCATCCAGTCGTGCTGCTCGCCTCACCATATATCACCGCGTGCAACGCTATGCACTCCATGTCTCTTGTACCGCAGTCCGCAATGCACCGCGCATGTTCAGCGAGGTCGTGTGCGCAAAAGACCCCTACGAGGTTGCCAGGAAGTTCCTGGCCACGCTCCAACTTGCCAACGCGGGCAACGTGGCGATTGAGTCTACCGATATGGAGGATGCAGCCATCAGCGGCGATATTCCGCTCAAGCTTCTCACCACCAAGAGGGTACGTTGTGTGTGTGCGTGTGTGTGCGTGTGTGCGTGTGTGCGTGTGCGTGTGTGCGTGTGTGCTTCTGGTCATGCCCGCAAAGTCAACATTTGGATGAAGGATTCCTGTGTTGTGAGCGGGTATCTTGTGGGCTCCGTGTCTTGTATCATTCTCAAGTATGACCAATCCCCGAATAACACACACACACACACACACACACACACACACACACACACACACACACACCACACACACACACACACACACACACACACACACACACACACACACACACACACACACGTCCGTCTGTACATGCCTCAGCACCACGATTCGCTGCAGCAGCACTTCCTGGCCGGAACTGGTGGTCGTATCGGCAGCAGTGATGACGATGATGACGACGATCTCTGATGCGTTGCTTGCATGCACGTGCTGCTAAGATGAATTTTGTTGGATGGATGGACGATGGGGTGTGTGAGCTGATGCCGTGATGTTCCTATCATTCTTTCTTGTCCTGTTTTGTTTTTGAGGTGGGCGGCTCGGGCGCAACATGTTGATGAGCAATTGTCACATCAACCGTTTGCGATGCACGCGTTGTGTGTGATGCTTCGCATGATGATTTCCACCCCTCGCCCTCCGTTCAATGCCAGAAAGCCAAATGATGGCACCCTTTTCTTTTGTAAGTTTTGTACCATGCTTTTGCTGTTGTCGTGTGTCGTGTTGCCTTTGCCTTATCTTCCTTGCTTGCTTGCTGAATTACTTACTTGACGCCTTGCTTGTGTGTGTGTGTGTGTTTGCTTTCGTCGTGTTGGGTTGATGTGACATGGCTTCCCTCTCTGTCTTTGTTGGTCTCTCTCGCTGGATCACGATGCTGTGACGAAGGCATGTTGTAGTTGAAGAAGTGAACACGTAACAGTGACAAGAAGTCACAGAAAACAGGAAGAAAGGGGATGGGTGGGGTGGGGATTGGTGGATACATGCGTCGCATCGCTGCATGGAACGTGCACAAAGCAAACTAACAAGTCGAGCAGCGCGCACGCTATAATGCATAGTGCACACATGTGAACTACAAGTGGTGTCGGTTGATTTGATAAAAGGGGCTGTGCTACTAACGGCATAAGGGCGTGCACACAAACGGAGAAGGGCAGAACTCAAAGGGCACGTTGTCGTTCTCAACGAAGGGGGTGTGCGAAGATGCAAGAGTGGTAGTGGGGAAATGTGGCGCTCGCTCATGTGTGTGCATGTGCGCGTGTATGTGCATGTGTGTGCGCGTGCACCACGCATGAACATGCACAAGTGCACACGAGCGCACACGGAGCTGCATGCATTGCTCATTCCTCGCCAATGTGGTCCCAGCCGAGGTAGGATGGCGGCACATACTTGATGTCTGTGTCAATGAGCAGGTATGCGTTGTCAAACACGACCTGGGTGTTCGTGAACTCCACACCATCAATGGTTGGAATGGGCAGTCCTTTTGCAATCGCCTTGTTGATGCCGGGAACAAGCGCCTCCTGTGGTGTGCAAGTGTGTGTGCGTGTGTGTGCGTGTGCAAATGCGGTGAGTGTTGGAGACAGGTTCGCTCTCATCCACAGCGGTGGCTGAGCGTGAACACGCTGCACACGATTACTGTCTCACAGACACAGGCACAGACACAGGCACAGACACAGGCACAGACACACAAACACAAACACATTCACACACATGCAGAGACATTTGCACCTGGCAGAAGAATGCGATGACGCTGTCGAGAACGCTGACATCAATGGGTCCAATTTGCGTGGACACGAGGGTGAGGTTCACGTTGAGGAACGTGAGATTGCCGTGCAAGTAATGGTCCGGCGTCACCCACGCCTGATGTCGAAGACAAGCACAAGACAAGGAGCGGGTGAGCAGAGGATGGGGCGGAACAGAGGTGAACAGACGGATGCACACACACACACACACACACAGACAGACAGACAGACAGACAGACAGACAGACAGACACAGTCACACATACACACACACAGAAACAGACACAGACACACATGCAGACACAGACACACATACAGACACAGACACACACACACACAGACACACATGCAGACACAGACACACAGACACAGACACACACACACACAGAGAGACCGTACGCAGCCCCCTCCACACACGCACATTGGCGGAGGCCTTCACGGTGACATTCATGGAGAAGACGGGGATCTTCTTGTTGTCCTTGTCCACAACATCGGCAGTGAGGAGGAAGAAGAGATACGCGCTGCCGCCCGACGGACGCACGTCGAGACGCACCGGAATCTCCTGTGCATCAAACTTGATGTCCATGGGGCGGTTGGGGTACTTCTTCTGCAGCTGTGGCAGCAGCTTCCCGATGCTGGACGTGTTGAGGCCAAATGGCCAGTCCGATGGCACGTCGCTGGGAGTGATGAGAAAGTCGAGCTCGCCGCACTGCCCATACACCCACCCGGCCTTGAGCGAGTTGAAAGGAGATGGGAGGGGGGTGGAGGAGAGGAAGGCATGGGGGAGGGTTGATTGTGGGTGAGAGGGAGACCGTTGGTTTGAAGTGTAAACGTCCACCAACCAAACAGCCAACCAACCAACCCAATAAACAGACAACCAGACAACCAGACAAACACACAAGCAGCGACAAACCACATGTTGCACCAACGTACCGTCTCGACGGTGTATGCTGAGACAGCGACATAGAACATGCGTGTCGCTTTTGCTGGGGCGGGGATGGCCGGTGGACTGAACGGCGCCTCCGTGGTGTTGTGCGCAAGCTGGAAGAACTCACCCTGTCAAATGAAGGGCACGAAGCGCAAGAAAGGGAGAGTGTAAGCTGCAGGATGGTGCATCGGCAATGTCACACACACACACATCCACACACACACACACACACACACACACACACACACACACACACACACACACACACACACACAGACACAGACACACACACAGACACACGCTGCTTGTCGCTCACTGCAAAATGTACACACACACACACACACAGACACACAGACACACACAGACACAGACACACACACGCACGCATGCACACGCAGCTTGTCGCTCACTGCAAAATGCACAACAGGAGCAAGGTTGGACCTTGTGGGCGGTGAGGAGATACTGCGACGTGGTGGTTGGCGCCTCGAGAAACTCAAAGTTGACGAGCGCACACTTGTCGAGACGGATTGTTTCGGGAAGTGTCGCCAGGGCCTTGAAACTGACTTCAGTATTGCGCACAACTCCACATAACACAGACACAGACACAGACACAGACACAGACACAGACACAGACACACAAGCACACACACAAGCACACAGGCACACACACACACACACACACACACACACACACACACACACAAGCACAGACACAGACACAGACACAGACACAGACACAGACACACAGGCACACACACCCGTCGCCTCAGGCAGCAGCAAGCGTGCGCAGGGGCTCGTCCAGGCCTTGGAGGGCGTTCGTAAACGCCTTGTGGTGCAGCTGCTGCAGTGCGGCCAAGCCATCGCGACACAGCGCAATCGTTTGCTGGCGCACAAACATCTGCACGTCGTCATCAGCACCTGCACTTCCGGAACCGTCCTGCGGCGCGTGCCTGGGATGGCGCCTCCTTGCGCGACTGCTGCGGCGAAGCAGCTTTGCAAAGCACCGCACAAGCGCAGCCGTGGGCAGCGTGGTGCTCGTGTAGTAGCACATGTTCCGGAGCGCATAAAGCGCCGTCAGCGCAACCGTCGGATGCCGCTTCTCAGACGTGAGCGAAATGACGCCGTCCGTGATTGCCAGCCGCGACACACGCACGCGGCCTTCGGGGTACAACGTGTATGTCGCCAAGAACGCACACAGCTGAAGCTGCAGCTCTGGTGGACCAACCCCGCTGCTGCTACCGCCATTACCACTGCTACCGCCATTGCCGGCTTGTGAAAAGCCACCAGAACCGTGTTCACCACGCTCCACACCTTCGCCGTGGGAGTGAACTGAACCTCTTCGCCGGCTCGCCGCTTTGTTGCCACCGTTTCCACCTGCTGCCAAGCTGACCTTGAGCCACTTGTCGCGAATCACATCCAGCATGCGCTCGCTCTGCAGCAGCGGGCGGAACTTGGAGCAGGCACACACGTGCTTGCACAGCCCCAGGATGAGGGCAGCTTCCTCAGCCTTCACGGCAGCCGAGGCAAACCGCTTCAGGACAAGCCGAATCACCTCTTCAAACTGAGCCAGCGCCTCAGAGTCGATGGCCTGCACCGTGGCAAGCACGCTCGTCACCGCACGCAGCCACCCCTGACGCAGGGTGTCTGTGCCACTGCAGCATGTGTGGGCTCCCTCGAGCGCAGACATGAGCGGCGTGAGCGCGTCCACAGTGCACGCTTCGTCCGGGTCGTGATACAAGCAGCACGTGATGACGCGGAGCGTGTCGTGAATGGCAGTGCGTACGCGAGCCAGCCGCATGTTGTCGTGTCGAGCAATCGCGTCCTGCTCATGCTCCTTCAGGCGTCGCAGCGACGCCGCACACAGCTGGCGAATTGGCTCCAGCGTCTGCGTGTCCGATAGCCCTTGCACAAACACGCAAAACTGGGACAGCAGCCCACACAGATGCGTGCGCGCGCCGCCCAGGTCCCCAATGTCGAAACACTCGTCCCACAGGTGTCGCAGTGACTGCAGGTTGGCCAGCACATCGTGTAGCATGAAATCGACAACGGGTGGGCCAACCAATTGCGCAGATGACAACACTGCTGCTGCTGCTGCTGATGATGATGATGATGCTGGTTCTTCCTGTGCTGCGCCCTCGCTACCACCACTCTCGCCTTCTTTGGTCCCAGCCAGGACAATGCCACCACCACCATTGTGTCGATATCGATGACTCTGCTGCTGTTGCTCCTGGTGGCTATATTGTTGTGCGAGGTGAGGCATGTTCTCAAGCAGTGCCAGCCAGTGGGCGGGCTGGAACTGGCACACAAGCACGTGTAACATGCCCGTGCATTGCTGGAACGTGAACGTGAGGGAGCTCACGTAGCCTTGCACCTCAGCCCGTGGCAAGCCAACAGTCAGCGCGGGAATAAGACCAGCACCCAGTCGCCGGCACACGCGCAGAAACTCGGGAACGTGCACAGCTGCCGCTTCCAACACATCATATGCTGTCGTCAAGTGGAGATCCTCTTCAGCGCCACCATTCCCAGCTCTCGTGTTGGCTCCGTCGCCTCTGCGGTGCTGCTGCAACAGAGAGCGCCGCACGTCGGGCTCCTGCACACAGAGGCATGCGCACGCGCACATGTCTGACGTCAGCGCCAACAGCTGCTGAACAAACTCCACGCGAACTTGCACTGCGGCTTCTTCAAACGCATCATCACCCCCCGTCGTACGTGTTGCAGTGCCCGCTTGTCCGCCTCCCATCTCCGCGCCTTCCACAGTCCAGTGCCCACCACCACCACCATCTGCCTCGCCGTGAGTGCTTGCTCCAACACTGGAGGTGCGGTTTTGTGATTGATCGAAAGATGAAGACGATGCTGCCACTGGTTCGCGTACACTCACAGACCCGCGTCGCACAAGCTGCTGCACTTGCTCGTGTGTTGTGGGCACCGCAAGTTGCACAAGTTGGCCCATGCGAATGAATGTAGTCGCCAGGTGGCGGGAACACCACTTCCGCAGTCGGGACAGCGTCCCCTGGCGAAGCCAATAGGGCGCGTTGATGTCAGCGTACACAGCCCGGCACAGGCGCAGCGTGGCAGACAGCAGCGTGTCTGTCACGGTCATGGGGGAGCGGATCGTCGCCTCAAACGTGTGCGCGCAGTTGTCATGGGGGTTTCCATGACCGTTCTCTCTTGTTGAGCTCTCCACCGCTGTTGACACATGCAACTGTGACCAGCACGTGCGTAGCAGGACATCCACGCCCGTGCACACGTGTGCCCGCGCAAATAGCCGCGCACCGTGGTGGTGCAGCAAACCGTGCACAGTTGTGCAGAACAGACTCAGCCCCTCCTCGCCCAGGCCAACGTCACACAGCGCAGGCAGCGAATCAAAGAAGTGCATGGCCCCAAACACGCGGTGTGTTCGCACACGCACTGTCATCATTCGCCCACCCTCGCCCACAGAGACGTCGTTCACGCTCGCAGCAACAGCGGCGGCGGTAGTATCATCATCATCATCATCACCATTGCCATTACCATTATCATCACCACTGTCAACATCCCCAGGCTGCTGCAGGGCCGCCCAGGCATCAGCAGGAAGTGGCAGCAGCACGCGCGAGGCGAGCGATGACAGTGCCTCCATGCATGCAACGCGCACGCACGGCCGCACGTCGCGCCGGTACAGCAGAGAGAACAGCACATCCACCGCGGAGACGGACGCCCCACTGTAATCGTCCTCAGCGTGCTCATTGCCATCGCCATCATCCTCAGCACCACTCCCGCCACGCGCGCTGGGACCGGCACCCGAGTTGTCGGAGCCTTCGCCAAACACAGCTGACGCAGGCAGCGTGCATCGCAACAGCTGTCGAAGCGCCAGCGGGCTGCTGCTGGCGAGAGATGCAAACAACTGCAGAGCAAGCGCCGCCAACACGGCGTCTCTGTCATGCATCAGCACGAACAACCATGACAAGGAAGCGCCTGCGCTTGGTGTTGCGTTGGACGCGTCGCTGTTCGCTTGCTGTTGCTGGAAGGCCGGCGACGAAGGGGTAAACAGCTGCAACACATCAACATCTTGCGTGTGGGTGCTGTCGTGTCTTCCCCGAGCGCTCTTGCTCTTTCCTCGTTTCCCTCCGCCACGGTCGTGACCACCACCGCCAGCATGACCACGCGACTGCCGGTGTCGTGACGCTGATAGTGTATACGTGCCCAGCGGGGACGGTTGCGTCATGAAATGCTTCTTCAGGGCGTTTTGCTTCGAATGTGTGCGCTGACTGCCGTGTCCACTTTTCCGAAGCGCCGACCCGCGCTCACGCAATCGTGGCTCGCCCGGGCGTGGCAGCATCGTTGCTGATGCTGTGGATGCTCGTCCAGCGGCGTGTAGCCGTTGCTGTTGGTGCTGTTGTGCGCGTGTACGCCGACGACTGGCACCACCTTCACGCTGGGATGATGCTCCATCCACCGCGTATGTGTGATCCGCATTGCCACCGCCGTTGTCTTCATCATGGGTGCCAGGTCGGTGTGAGGACGACGATGACGAGAAGGGGCCAGTAGTGTGTGTGTTTCGCCGGATTGCCTGCAAGCAGCTGACGAGAATGCTCAGTGTGGCCTTGAAGTGACCCTTCTCCTTGAAGCTGAACGTGCCAGACCACGCCTTTTGCGTCGTGTCCATGAAAGGGTGCATGATGGGTAGAACTAGGTTGATGATGCGCGCAGCAAGCTTCGTGCTGATGCCATGTGCAAATGGGCCATCGGCTTGGCAGATGGCTTGCGTCATGGCTACCGCACGCCCGAGAACGAACAGATCAAAGTAGTGTGGGTTGTTGAGCGCAACCTGAAGCGTGACCAGCGCCTGCTCTCGAAGCCGTGCCACCGGGGCAGCAACCCTCAGCCTGCCGCATGCAGCAACAACAGCGAGCTCCAAATCCAGCAACGCATGCACAATGCGGTTCAACACGTGCTCGCCACCAACGTTGCCTCGTGAGGTGTCGTCATTAGCCTCCTCGTTGTCACCGTGATGGGGGACACTGTCGCTGTCCGTCGTCGCAAAGGAGGTGCTAGTTGTGGCACTTGCGCGCCAGACGCCAAACGATGTGCCAAGCTGGCGTGCACGCGTCTGCGATGTTGTGGGTGGTAGTGTTGTGGCAGTTGTTGTTGCTGCTGCTGCGGCCAGGGTGTCTGAGATGAAGCGGGCGCTTGTGGCCGCGCTGCTTGCGCCGCTCATCGCAGCAGCAGCACTGCGGAACCCATCCTCATCGCCTTCATTGCCACCACCAGCACTTGCCTGGCCAGCTGTTGTACTCTCGCCACGTTTCATTGCCCGCAAGATGAGGCGCTGAATGTCGGCAGCCGCAGCGTCCAGCACCCGGCACAGGCGTCGCACGCACCGTCGCCGCCATGGTGCGGTCTCTGTGGACGACAGCGTTTGCTGGCCGTTTGTTTCTGCATGCTTCTGATTGTCGGCATCGTTGGTTGAGAGTGTGTCCACAAAGGAGGAGATGGCTTCAAGAAGGGTGCACAGATGTGATACAAAGGTAGGCACTGAGCTGCCCGCCGCGTTGGCAGTGTCCGCGCGCAGCGATGTTTGGGTCGATGGAATGCCGCTCGTGTCTTCTTCGCCAGCGTACCGCGATGATGACAGTGATGATGCGGAGAAGCGCGCGCGTGACCTGCCCAGTGCCGTGTGGGGATGACGTGCAGAGCTCGCAACAGGCACAACAGCTGCTGTTGTCGCCGCTGTCGTCGATAGCCGGACGAGAGAGCGCAATAGGCTGGCAAGAGCCGGCGTACATGTGGCTGGGCGACTGGGCTCAGTTTGCATCAGCAGCGTGAACCGATCAATGAGCCGAGCCATTTGCTCCTCAGAGGGAAGGTGGCTGCCCGCTTGCTCGCGTGCCCGCCATGAGTGTGGCTCGTGCAGTTGCGACGCAAGCATATCTGTCACCCCGACGGCCCAGCGTTCCAGGTGCTGCATGCATGGCGTGGCGGTTGCAGCGGCTGTCACGAGCTTCAGCACGTCCTCATCGAGGGAGATGTGTGCGGGAAACGAAATTTGCTGTCGGGACACCAGCTCCTGGATGGCGTCGAGCGATTTGTGTCGCATGAGAAGTTCTGTCTTGCGCACGCACTGGGGGAATGGCGTGGCCGATTCCCGCTGCTGCTGGCGTGTGGAGGCAGGTGCTGTGTGGATCAAAACGTCACGCAAGGGCGATTGCGACGTCGGCTGTGCTGCTCGGGCTTGGATCCATTGTATTGCTTCAGGTCCAAGTACGAGCAAGAGCTGCTCAGTCGTGAGCAGCGATCTCTGCTGCTGTGTTGTTGTGCCTCCAACGCTGACTGAGCTCATGTGCGTCCAGAACAAAGGGGAGCGCACGGCTGTTCGAAGCACGTGAAGGCATTCCGGGGACAGAAACCCGCTGTCGACGTCGTAGTCTTGCCACAAGATGCGGCTCACCAGAGCCACCGTCAATGTTTTTGCCTGGACGTGCGTGTGTACATGAGTGAGTGAGTGAGTGAGTGAGTGAGTGAGTGAGTGAGTGAGTGAGTGAGTGAGTGAGTGAGTGAGTGAGTGAGTGAGTGAGTGAGTGAGTGAGTGAGTACATGCATGTGCCCATGCGTGAGTGAGCAATTCTTCCGACACAGCCGATTATCAGCAATACTTTGCAGCAACGCACCGACGACGACGCTCGTGGAAAATGCACGAGGACGGGTGCGGCCTGTGTGACCTTGACGAGTGTTCGATAGAGCAACGCCAGTGGCGCAGCATTCTCCGACACGAGGGCATCAATCATCAACAGGAGAACCTGTGCACACGCGTCCAGCGCTCCTTCCAGCATGCCTGAAATACAAAGATGTCACGTGGCGTGGGATAACGTTGAACATGATGAGTACACCAGCAAATTCAAAGCAAGTGAATGCCCGCCTCACCGAGTGTGTTTGCAAGCGCCTGTGATAGAGCTTGTGATTCTGGCTGATTGTTTGTGGTTGTGGTTGTGCTTGTGTTCGAGTGTTTGTGTTTGTACAAGCGTACGCACGAATGTACACGCTCGCGTGTCTCACCATGAAGCAAACAAACCTTGTGGGATACGGGCTTGTGTGGCTGTGTCCGAGAGCAACAGCAAGCACACCGTGTGCATGCGTTTCCGCATGGCAGTCCCAACCAATGTGCCATCCTCCAAGAATTTGGACACCTGCAAAGAAGATTTCACACGAATACAGCCCACACGGCAATGAGGACCGCATGATTCATTCGCACACAAAGTGCAAGAAGAGTAAAACACAGGACGTGTACAATTACAACAGCATACTTCAGCTTCAAATGAGATGCCATCACACCGCATCAACACGTGAAAACACGCAGCAGCACATTGCCCTGCTTGCCAACAAACGTGCCTGGGTCAGTGCTTCCACGTGCGTGCTAGTGAGGGGTTGATTGCTCTCCAAATGCATCACAATCATATCGCACAGTCGTCCAAATCCAGCTGCATCGTACACCCCTGAAAGCATTGAAAGTTACATATGTGTGAGCGCGCGTGCGTGCATATGTGAGTGAGTGAGTGCATATGTGAGTGTGTGAGTGCGCGCGTGCGCGTGTGAGCTTCAAACGAGCACCAAATCGTATGCAAAGATCACCAACTCTCACCATACCGACCATGAAGGCGAGAGTGAGGGTTGGTTTGAAGCGGTGCTGACAGCATAGTCATGTATTCCTTCCAAGATATCGCAGCTCCAGTCTGCGCACAATTGTGAGTTGTTGATGTGAGCCAACGTTCCCTTGATTACCGTGAGTATGTACAAGTGAACAAACGACCAAACCAGAATGCAAAAGGCGAGCTGACGACATCACACACGCAAACACAGTCGCTCATGCAAGCACACATGCAAGCACACATGCAAGCACTTTCTATACAACTACAAAGACACGCGCACACAAACACACACTTACGCATACACACACATACGCATACACATGCACATACACGCACGCACGCACGGACACATGCACAGACCTCATGTGGAGGCAAGAGCTGCGCTGCCCAGTGTGCGAGCATTGGAGAAGATGTCATGCAGCACAGAAAGAACCACGCCGTTGTGTGTGCGTCTGGTGCAATGTATGGCTTCCATTGCGACAGCAGCCTGAATTGTTTGAATGGAGGCACGCAGTAAACCCATGCCAAATCATGCAAACACAAAGAGGTTGGTCAAAATGAATGTGCGAAGCGAAGCAGAAATACAACTGCGATCAATTGAATGGAAGCAGGGAGAGCGCATGCGTATTCACACAACAATGTCATGCACGCACTGTTCGCTGAGTTGCGGGTGCAGGAGCAAGAGCAGCCATGGGATTTGTGGCTCCAGCTCCTCCACGCCTGTATGCGTGTGATCGTTTGTTTGTGCGTGCGTGCGTGCGTGCGCGTGTGTGAATGTAAGGTGTGGTTGAAAGGTGCGACGAGTGACTGACGTGTGACAATGTGGCAAGACAATTTAAATCGCTACAGGGACGATGTATTTGTGGCAGCGAAGTTGTCGTACCTTGCGCTGTGCCAACCAGCGTTTCAAAGAGTTTGAATGTTGCAGAGACAAGAGCGCTCGTCTCACTCCGAGCCGCCTGTGCGTGGCCACCGGAAACGGAAGTGTGGGCATGAAACTGGTGCACGGTCTGGATTTTAAAAGAGAGGGGAAGGTAAGCGTAAGTTAGAGTAAGCAAGAAGTGCTGCAGCACATGCGCACGCACGCGCGCACGCACATATGCACATACAGACAAGCACACAAACGAATACACAACGCCAGTAATCACAACACACACACACACACAAACACACACACACACACACAAACACACTTGTCGATGGGAGAAGGACTTGGTTTGAATGGCGAGCGTGGGCAGCGCATCAGTGCGCGCGAGAAGACGGACAAGCGACTGAACAAACTTGGACTTTGTGCTGGTGCTGGGGACAATGCGCTCAAGCACGTGCGTGTGCAAGAGGTGCTGCACATGTGTGATGGCGGCGAGGCGAACGCGTTCGTCATGATGCAACAGCAGACATTGTGCAAGAGACGTTGCTGCCGTCGCGTCGGCCGGCACGGTGTGCATGCAGGCAGCGAGCCCTATGGCTGCCCGCACAAACGCAGAAGCTGTTGACGATGAAATGTCATCCACCACAAGCAGGGCGGCATGTGCATCTGCCAGGCGCCGGCGCAAGTGGGCAAATGCCCTTCGTTTTGATCCTTGTTGCCCTCGTGCGAGCACTCCTTCAAAGATTTTGAGGGGCGATGTTTGATCGAAGGTGCCCACCACACGAAACGCGGCCTGGACTGCTTCCCGAGACGCCTGACAGACATCAGCGAGGGTGGTGTTGATGATGATGGTGACATGGGTGAACGCAACGGTACTGGTAGAGGAGGTGCAGAACAGCAGACATGCTCGTATCTATCCACACGCCGTCAATCTCACATACACAAACCGCAGATGCACCCACAGGCACAGAGACAGGCAGACAGGTACAGAGACAGGCAGAGACACAAACAGACAGACAGACAGACAGACAGACAGACACACACACACACACACACACACACACACACACACACACACACACACACGCACATTTGCTCGTTTTAGGGAGGCCGTGTCAACACCCGCTTGATGGGCGCAGGCCAACGCGAGCGGCATCAGCGGTGGAAGAGCGTGATGCAGCCAGTCGTTTGAGGCGGCAGCAACAAGCAGCACGGCAACATTCTCAGACACGTGCGCACTCTCCACAGTCAGCGCGTGTACAACGTCCAAGAAGATGTGCAGTAAAGGAAGGCCGCAGAGCAACACGGGTCGCCGGGCTGAAAGAGAACGAATACATGCAAAAACACAAACGAAACGACAGCAGCAGAGCACAATACCAAAGCATGAACGTACGTGAGTGTGGTGAGATGCATGTCATCTATTCATCGACAAGCGCAGTACAACTGCGTTGACATGATTGTGGAGGGATGGAGTCATCAGCACAACTGCTCACAGGTTGACAAACACCACCGCCAGCGACTTACCGAGAACGGCCCGCAATGTGCTCGCTATCAATTCCACCACGTTTGTGAGCTAAGTGTCGAGTCACGAAATGTGTGTGTGTGTGTATGTACGTGTGTGTGTGAGTGAGTGTGTGTGTGTGAAGGTGAAGGGGAGCGCAAAGGGGCACAGCCCGTGTTCTTGCTACAACACACACACACACACACACACACACACACACACACACACACACACACACACACAGATAAAACGCGCACGCATGCGCAAGCACAAACCGTGGTCAGTCGCAGGTCATTTGACCAAGAAGCGCTCATGACAAGAGGCAGGCACGCGCGCAGGAGTGCAAGGCCGTGGGCAGCGTCTCCGCTCTGCAAAACGTTGCAGTCGACACGTGGCGGGGGTGTTAAGGGGTCAAGGCACGAAGAGCCATGATATGAGGGCATGAAGAGCCACAGTGTCCATGCGCATGTATGTGTGTACGAGTGGTTGTGAACATTGGAAATTGAGGATGAGGCGCTGGTGTCGACAAGTAGAATTGTGACTGCAGCTGTGTTGGTACTTGGCACGCATGTTCCATCACACGGAACATCGTACCGCAATGATGGGAAGAACGAGCGAAAAGATTGATTCGCAGAAGGAGAGTACGGTCTGAGCGGCCACATGTGGAAACCTACAGAATAGACGTGGGCATGTGGACGTTGTGAGTGAGTGTGCGTGTGAGTGTGTGTGTGTGTGAGTGAGTGTGTGAGTGTGTGTGTGTGTGTGAGTGAGTGAGTGTGTGTGTGAGTGAGTGAGTGACTGAGTGTGTGTGTGAGTGAGTGAGTGAGTGAGTGTGTGTGTGAGTGAGTGAGTGAGTGAGTGAGTGAGTGTGTGTGTGTGCATGGGAGCTACAATCGACAGGTTGACAGATCGACAGATGTAGGTGATGGTTGCCGTTACGCATACAATAAAGTCAATGGCCATCCTCAAGCACGACAAAACAATCAGGCAGACAAGTAAATGCAGCAAAGAACCCAATAAGAACCCAATCGCCAACACACAAACGAAGCGCAGGAAAGCCGCGGTATCGGGAACACATACGCAGCAATGTCGGGGTCTGATTCCGCAGAGAGGGTGGTGGAGAGCTTGGAAGCGATGGCGGTGAGCGCTCGCATAACACAGCGACGACGCTGCGTAAAAGTGTGCTTGTCGGCGGCTATGTCGCCTTCTGGTGCGTTTGCTTGCAGAGGGATGAACAGCGCCTGTATTGAAGCACGACCAACGTCATAATTAGGAACAAAGCGAGAGCATGTTTCTGAGGATGCGTGCTGTGGTAGCTCCTTTGTAGACGAAAGGACATAAATCCGCATGCCCACGCACACAAGTACGCACACACACAAGTGCAAACACAAACACAAACACACACACACACAAGTGCAAACGCATGTATCATACACACACACACACACACACACACACACACACACACACACACACAAAAGTCGATCCCGACAGCTTCGCACCTGCACGAGCGCAGGGTAGAGCATGAACGCTTCGGCGGGAAAGTCGCGAACAAGCACGTCAGCGATGAAGCGGCACGTCTCCTCGCACATCGACGGCACCAGGAGTTTGTCTGCCGATGCAAGCAGCACATCCTCGTCCGCAGCGCACAGCAGTCCAGCAGCTGCAAGGGTGGCGGTTTAAGTGGGCGCAAGAAACGATGAGAGTGTCAGAGGTTGGGTGTGTTGTATGAGCAAGGAGATGAAGCAGATGGCACAGGCAGCGACAGCAAGAGCGAGCAAGGACGATCTCAGGTACACACATACACACATGTTCGCGTGTGGTGAGGAGGTGTTGTTGCGGCAGTTCGGATGTTCCAGCCCTCTTCTTCGCTGAGCTCAGAGGCAGCAAAAGGTGGCGTGAAGCGTGCTCGCTCGTGTGGGACTCCTTGTGTCACAAGTTCAGCCATTTCCCGTTGCTGCATCAGGGATGAGAGACCACGTCTTCCACGATAGTGTTGCGGTTGTTGTTGTTGTTGTTGTTGTTGTTGTTGTTGTTGTTGTTGTTGTTGTTGTTGCTGGCGGGGCTGTGTCCTTGCTTGTGCCGAGGATGCAGCCTGCTGTGGAAGGGCCGATGCGGCGACTGTGATTGGGTACGGTGAGCCCGTATTGGGCGATGACTCACCAGATGTGCGGCGCGGTCGTCGTGGCCGCTGGGTGGCGAACAAGTTGTCCACTCCCGCATTCCTTCTGCTTCCACTTCTAACCATATGATCATGTTCATCGTCCTCTTCGTCGCGTTGTTCGTCATCATCATCATCATCATCATCATCATCATCATCATCATCATCATCATCATCATCATCATCATCATCATCATCATCATCATCAACAATATCATCAGCACCATCCTCACCATCGCTCATGGTGGACCAAGATGCAACGCGCCTGTGACCACGGCGCTGCCGGTGGTGCCACGAGCGACCGGAGGGAAGAGGTGTCGTCGACTGTGCTGGCTGTGTGTGACCTCCACTGCCAGCAGCTGCAGGTGCCGTGTGCACGGCTGGTGGCGGTGGGGGCGTGCAGGATGGAAAGTACACGGGCCCCTCTGTGACGCTGGCTAGGTCCGTGGCCTCTGACGGCGCGCCGCGCTGCGGCTGCATTTCGACAATGTGCAAAATGGAGGTGAGGACCTCCACGTGTGCGTGGAATGCCTCATCGTCGTGCTCCTGGCAGTGTGTGCGAAGGTCTGTCAGAAATTGCAGGCCAATCTCGCCAACCTGCCTCGCCCCTTCCGGCAGCTGTGTCAAAGTTGGAGGTTGATGGGAGTTGCGGGAAGTGGAATGGGTGTAAAAAGAGTGAACATGTTTGGGAATCTAGCAAAGACGGTGGCGGCAGGGAAGGCAGGGAAGGTGGTGATAGTAGGGAAATTGATGACGCTGACGTGCGCGCGTGTACACACATCCACACGAACACACACGCACACATACGCAGCATTTGTGGCACGCATACGTTCAGGCACGCGTTATGCGCACGCAGCCGTACCGCGATGACGTATTGAAGGATTTCCAATGCCTGGCTGTAGTGTGAAACGTGCTCGTAGTTGAACCACTGCAGGAGCTCACGCAGGAAGTCCTCCGTCTCCAGCAGCGTGGGCAAGGAGATGTCTGTGTGCTGGAAGTACAACAACAACTGTTCAACGGCATGCAGCCGCGTCTGTTCAAAGCTGCTGGACAAGTACCCTGCCAGCGTCTGTACGCGACGTGTGTTGTTTACAACACTCTCTTCTTCCCCAGCACTCTGCTGCTGCTGCTGCTGTTGTTGTTGCTGCTGTTGCTGCTGCTGTTGCTGTTGTTGGTGCTGTTGTTGTTGGTGGTGCTGCTGCACACTGCGACGCGGCTCAGCCATCGTTGGTTGGCCGTTGCTTTTCGCCTCGTTTGAATTTCGTGTGGTGAAAATTGTCCATATTTTCCACTGAAACGGCACGCAGAGAGAGGACAGCGCAAGAAATGTGGCTTGAGGTTGGTTGTTGGTGGCTGGCAGTGGCTGCCTGCTTGCTTGTTGGATCTTCGTCTCACTGGTCTTGCTTTGGTGGTCCTGTCGATATTGGATGTCCTGTCGACGTTTGTGTTTGTGCACGAGTGTGCGTTGATGTTGATGGTTGTGTTGATGGTTGGTGACCTCGGTGTTTACTCGCATGGTCCGACGCTTGTTTGCATGGATGTGCGTACGTGCGCCTCTGTGTGCTCTGTGTTGTGTGCTCATTGGTACTGACACATGTTCAATTCATGTCAATGATGGTGTGCAGGTTGTGTTGGCTGGTGGCAGTGCGCTGGCGGCCGTGCTGCTGGTCTACCTGTATCGCTCCAAATTTATGCTGCCTCGCCACCCTGAGGCCCCGGACACGCCCCGTTCAGGAAACCCCGCAGTGAGTGCAGTGTGCAGTGTGAGTGAGTGAGTGAGTGAGTGAGTGAGTGAGTGAGTGAGTGAGCGAGTGTGTGTGTGTGTGTGGGTGTGTGGGTGTGGGTGAGTGAGTGAGTGAGTGTGTGGTTTTGGTGTGTGTCGTCGTTGATTTTGATAATGGCGTGCATTGCATCTGTCGTGCACGTGTTCTGTTTTGTGGTCGGCGTCGATGCCATGTGTGACATTACTCTACGACAGCACACTCACTTGTGAGCCGCGTTCTCCCCTCCTTCACGCCTCCCCCCCTTTAGGATGAGGTGGTGCTGTACAGCTTTCCACCAGTGCCGGGCACCCTGTTCTCGACAAGCCCCTTTGGTGCCAAACTCGAGATTTTCCTGCGGCTCGCCAACATTCCATTCACCACCAAGCCTGCAGAGTGAGCCAGTGTTTGTTAGTGGAGATGGGGTTGAGTGCTAGTATGGTTGGCACACGATGCTTCCTCTTGCTTCCCCCATTGATCATGTCACATGACACACCTGTTTGAGTGCAGCAAACTCACGTGTGGTGCGTGTGTTGCGGCACGTGTATGTCGTGCATTGCTTCGTGACGCCACAGCTTGGCGCGTGCTCCGAAAGGCAAGGTGCCATACATTCAGCATGGCAACAACCTCATTGGCGATTCCACCTTCATCATTCGCTACCTTCTCGCCACGTATGGCAAGCCACACCAGTCGTACTTTGGTCAGTGCAACTTCACATAACATGCGTCTTTGTGAGGTGTGTGTGTGTGCGTGTCTTTGTGAGGTGTGTGTATGTGTGTGTGTGTGTGCACATGCTCATTGGAGAGGCGGCGATTTCTTGTCGTGTGTTGGGAATCACAACACTTGCAAGCAACTGCTTCACCTCTTTCATCGTTGCTGCCATTGAATTCTCTTGTTCCTGCTCTATTTGATCATGCGCGCCGTGCTGTCAGGCAAGCTCCGCCTGTCCCTGACACCCTATGAAGTCAGCATCGGCCATATGGTGCAGGTCCTCTGCGAGACCAACATCTACAACGCTCTTGTATGTTCCACAACTCGCCTCTCTCACTCACACACACACAACATACACATATGCATGTACATTTCCGTGGCAGTGTGCATGTCTCAGACTCTGCAGTGCTTTGGCTCTGTGTCTTGTGTCACACGTGAAGTGCTTCACATGCGCCTCTTTATTGCATCATATCCACATCATCGCCTCGCCCACATCGTGTCATTCTCCACCCCATGCCCCCACCCTCCAACTCCGCACTCGCTGCCAGCTGTGGAGCCGGTGGCTGTGCGGGGAGAGCGACTTTGTGAAGAACAACTTCTTTGGCATGATTCCGCGCCCGATTCGCGGTCTCATCTTCGCCATGGTCCAGCGCAGCATGTTCGACTGGCTCTGGGGTGAGCGGCACGTGGCGTGCGTTGTTGTTGTTGCTGTTGCTGTTGCTGTTGCTGTTGTTGCTGTTTTCGCTTTGCGGGAAAGGTAGCGGAGGGCGTGACACGCGTCACTGGTCTTGAGCTCTTGCTCACACACACACACACACACACACACACACACACACACACACACACACACACACACACACACACACACACACACACACACACACACACACACACACAGGCCAAGGCTTCATCCGGCATTCGCCTCACGATGTCGTCACGCTGAGCAAGCTGGACATTGATGCAATCGACACGCTGCTTGGCAACAAGGTCTGTGGTATGAGTGACGTCACACACGCACACGCACATACACACACACACACATCGTCTACGTCGCATGTATTTGTGCATGTTTCACGCCCATGTCAAACAGTTGGTCCAACACGATTCTTTCTTATGTGGTCATCTTGTTGCCTGGTTCCTCGCCTTCCGTTCTCGCGCGCGCTGTGATGACCAGAGCTTCCTCTTTGGCGACGAGCCCACCGTGTACGACTGCACAGCCTTCTCCTTCCTGGAGCCGTTTGTCAACTCCGACCTTGAGCTCCAGGTCTGGCACGTGTGCTCCTGTGTGTGTATGTGTATGTATGCGTGTGTGTGTATGTGTGTGTGTGTAGCTTGTCCTTACACTTGCACAACTTCATCTCACATTCACACACGCATGTCCCCTTCCCCTTTGACACACACACACACATACACACACCACACACACACACACACACACACACACACACACACACACACACACACACACACACACACACACACACACACACACACACACACACATCCCCTGCCACGAAACACATCTGGTGACAGGGTCTGCGCACGTACGTGTGTTCAAAGGGTCGTATCGTCAACTTTGTCAACCGCATGCGACACCTCATTCCACAAGACAAGTAAACGCACACACCCACACCCACACACACGCTCACAAGTACGCACAGCTGTTTATTTATTGTCAAGGGAGAAAGGAGGAATGTAACTGGCGGAGAGTAAGTCAGCCAAAGCGCAGCTGAATACGAAAAGCAGTAACTTACAAGGGATAGTGGAAGCAGCGTGATGTGACATGTGACAAGACAAGGCAAGGAGGGGGGAGGAGAGAAGCCATACGAATCGGTGAACAGTCTGCAGCCACACACACAGACACAGATACACACACACACACACACGTGCAGACACAGGTACAGAACACAGATAGACACACACACACATGTGACGCGATGTGCTTTAGATGTCCTTGCCATTGCTGGTCTTGCTGTGGGGTGTCTTGTTTGGGGCGATGATGGGAAGGCCGGCAAAAGTGGTGAGCGCCACGCGCTGGTTGAGTTCGCGCATGCGCGTGGCGATGCTAAACACGACGTACAGGTAGCTACCGATTCCCACGCCAATGTGCCACCATGCATGCAGCTCGATGACGGGGGCAAACACGCCGAGGTATGCCCGAAGCAGCTGCAGGTGTCCGCACAGGTGGTTGTCCACGTTCCACAGCGCAAAGGCGGAAAGGTACATCGTGATGGCGACCGGAAACAAGATGCGAATGCGCGGCGGAGCAGTGCGGCTCTTCAAGTAGGAGAGGAACATGATGCCAGCAACCTGGATACCGTAAGCGGTCTCATGGAACACGGCGTTCTTGTTATGCAGGTACATGTAGGTGACGAGGACGGCGTAGAGCACCAGCCCCGTGACCAGGCCCAGGCCGTGCAGCCCAGTGGTGTATCGGGAGTCCACGATGCAGTACAGGAAGATGCACGAGGCGTAGATCATGCTGAGCTCATCCACCAGCTGGTAGTGCCAGAGCAAGGTCATGTGGAACAGCCATGATCCGATGCCCACGCCCAAGAGGCCCAGGAACGACAGCACAAACCTGCGCTCGAGGCCAGCGATCGCGCAGTTGTAAAGGCCCACCAAGCACGGCACAATGATGGCGAGGTTGCTGAGCGTGTTCCAGAACTCGGCAACGTACGGCAGCAGCGTGTAGTTCTCCTCGCACCAGTCCAACGTCGATGTTGGGTGGCCCCAGAACGGTGTGGACGAGGAGGAGGAGGAGATGGTCATGTTGGATCGATGGATGGGCAGTGGCAGTCGAGTGTCTGCGTTTGCTGTGTTTGTTTGTTTGTGTTTGCTGTGTTTGTGTTTTTGCCAGTGCAGTTGTGGAGGATTTGCGAACATCTTCCAGGGAGGAGCGACAAACACACACACACACACACACACTAACACACACACACAGCAGACAGACATACAAACAGACACACACACACATACACAGACACGCACATGGTCACGTGCTGCATGGCGAGAGCGTTTACTGGTCGTGCTGACGGCTGCTGGGCTATTGGACAAGTGCACGCAAGTCTTCAAGGGAGGTGGGCACATACTGCCCGCCACGCTTGGCATCGCGAACAAAGATGACACCCTTGTCAATGTACACGGTGGCATCTCCAAACGAGTACAGTGGCTGGCCGTGCGCCGTGCGCCGCCCTTGCTTCGGCGCGAACACAACGCCACACTCCGCAGCAGCACGCGTCACCAGATCGCGCACAGACGTCGCACGCGGCGCACTGACACCGAGCGACGCTGCTGTCGCTGTCGCCGCCATGCGTGACGGCCCCGTTGCCCCGGCCTTCGCCGCCTCTGCAGCGCCACGTGCTGGCGATCCCATGCGTGGGGATGCAGCCGCAACCGGCGACTGTGGCCGCGATGGCGTGCGCGTGCGCTCAGATTCCCGGTCGAGAGTGCGCAGTTCGTACGCGAGGGTGGAGGGGTCGTCCATGGCACGGTCCATAATCATCAGCGCCCGGTGCAGGCGGCTCTGTCACCAGACGCGCATGTGTGTGCATGTATATATGCGAGCGTGTATGTGAGCGTGTGAATGATTTAAGTGCTGGTGAGGTGAGGCAGAGGACAAAACGTTCGACGCATTGAAAGACGACAAAGGAACAGCAAGCGTCATCAACAACGCAAACATACGCACACGCACTAGCACACACACACACACACAGACAAAGACAGACACACGCGCTATGTGCACACAAGCACAGACACAAACACACGCACGCGCCATGAACACACACACACACACACACACACACACACACACACACACACACACACACACACACACACACACACACACGTAAACACACGCGCACACACATACCATACACACACACCACAACCAAATGCACGCCATGTACGCACCTGGATGGTCGGGTCTTCGAGGGCGCGGGCCGGGATGAGACGCTTCCACTGCAAATACCAGTCGGCAATTTCATCGTACATGGCGTCTTCTTGCATCATCCACACGCACAGGCAGCGTAGCAGCTTGGGAAACACGCACCCGGCCCACAGGCTGACCACATCCGAGGTGGCAAGCATATCCTCCCACGCCATGGCTGTCTCAAGCACGCCAAAGTCCTGCTCGGCAGGGTTGATGGCAAGCTTGCTGAGGTGTTTCCGAAGCTTGGGCACAACCGAGCGCGCCAGGAACACGTGCATGTCGCGTGTGCGCCACACCCCGTGCCAGGGCTTGATCATCGCCAGCGCTGTCGTGTCCGCGGCGTCCCACGCGCGCAGACACACGCCGAGCTTGTAGCGGACACTGGTGTACACCTCGTGCAGATGCGTGTGCATGTATGGCAGCAGCGGGTGCAGCCACACGTGCACGGGCACGCGGTCTGTTCGCGGGTCCCAGGCTTGCACTGCGTTCTGCAAGCGAGGGAGGATGAGTTGGCGCGCAATGTTGTCGAGCATGGTGGTGGAGAGGAACGGGCTGAGCGCATCGAGGAGAGCAACGACGGGCGCCGGGTCGCGTGGTTGCCAGCGCGAGACAAGCGCAGTGCGAACGTGGGGAAGAACTGCAGACCACACAAGCGACTCAAACGTCTGTAACGCGTGATTGGTTGCATGTGTGTGTATGTTTGCGTGTATGTGTATGAATGAGTGGGTGAGGGAGTGCCAAGTTAGATGTGGACGTGGGATAGACGCAGAGGCACAGACAAAGCAGGAACACACAGACAAACCAGGAAACAAAGCAGGAAACGCAATCGTTAATGCATGCACAAACAAAGAAAACACACACACACACACCCAAAAAAACAGCACACACAGACACACACACACACACACAAAAGCACACGCACACACACACACACACACACAAAAGCACACACACACACACACACACACACACACACACAAAAGCACACACACACCCTACCAACCGAGTCTGTGGCGTCCGCGGTGTCGCTGTGGTGCCTCGTGTTGTGCCTGTCTGCCGTGCGCGGCAAGATGCGCTTCCACTGACGCAGATACCTGACGGGGCGTGTTGGCTCCTGCAGCGGCTGCCACGACTTGAGGCGTGCTGCAAACAGGTCAATGGCCGTGGCGTAGGCCAGGTGCGCCAGCCCATATCGCCTGTATTCGCGCGGGTATTCTGCCTTGAGCTCTGCATAGCCTTCAATGGCACGCAGCATGTCGCTCTCCTCGTTGCCAACGTCTGCCAATATCGCCGTCTTTTCCAGCAGCTGCTCCAGGCTGTCCACTGCAGACTGCTCGGCGCCGAGCCGCTCGTTCAGCTCCCGCTCCTCCGACTCCAGCGCCTGTATTTGGCGGCGCGTGCCGCGCACCTTGTTGTTCCACGTGTGCACGTCGGCCTCCGCCATCTCCAGCAGCACGGCGATGTTGTGCTGCAGCTCCGGGAACGGCCCTTTCGGCTGCAGGTGCTGCTGCTGCTGCTGCGCCGCCGTTGCCTCGCCCATGGTTGAGCGCACCTGCACCTGCGGGCCCGTCATGTCCACAATCTTCATTGCCGTGGGCGCTTTTTCGTCACCCTCGCCCTCCCCAGGCATCGATGACAGCAGGCGTTCGGCCGTGACGTAGCTGTAGGTGATGGGTGCCTTACGCTTGTCCGTGCCCTTGGCACGCCACAGCTGAGTCTCCATGGCGCCCTTGTCCTCCGCCTCCAGCGCCTTTCTTCTGCGCTCCTGCCGCTGGCGCCGATAGCTGCCGAGCGCCGCGGGCTCGTCCAGGTCGCTGTCCAGCTCATCTGAGGAAGAGCGGTACTCGTCATCCTCGCCCTCTTCCCCAGCGCCAGCGCCGCGCTCCTCGCGAAAGTGCTGCCGGCTCTGTTTCGTTCGCTCGCCCTTCTCTTGCAGGCCTTGCTTCGCCTTGCGCAGCTTTGCTTGCACAGGTTCCACGATGCCGCGGCGCGCTCGCCCAAGGCCCTCGCCTTTCTTCCAGCCCATCTTCTGCAGCAGCTTCATGCCGATGCCCTTGGTGTGCGCCTCAAACTTGGCAAAGTCCTTGTCAAGCCGCACATTGTCCGGGCGAGTGAACGTGGTGTAGCCGACGCCACCTCGGCCCTGCCCTTGCTCCTGGTCGCCATCGTCGCCTTGTTGCTGGCCTTGTTGCCGGCCTTGTTGCTGGCCTTGTTGCTGGCCTTGTTGCTGGCCTTGTTGCCCCTCTTCCTGCTGCTGTTCCTGTTGCCGTTGTCGGGGGAAGGAGGAGAAGCTGCTTGGCTGTGCAGTCGGTTCCATCGTCGTCGTCGTTCGCGGTCGTCGTTGTTCAGTCGTGTGATGTGTGCGATATGTAATTTGGATGTCACGGGTTGAAATCCCGACAACCGCACTTTGTCGCTCACATTTTTTTTGAGGGGACAGGACCTGCTGCTGCTGCTGGCTGCTGCTGCTTGCGAACCAGAAGCAGGCGGGCAAACTGGAAGGCGAAGGTTGTTGCTGTTGTGGGAAGAAGGGATGAGCACCACTGCATCAACAGCATCGGCGTCTGCGCCAACCGGCGTGGTGGCCAGGGTCAATGGTATTGAGTTCAGGACTGGTGCTCGCGTGGACGCACAGGACTACCTTTCCGACTGGTGTGTTTCCTTGCTGCATCGCAGCATCGTGTGTGTGGTGTGTGTGTGTGTGTGTGCGTTTGTGTGTGTATGTATGTGTGTATGTGTGTGTATGTATGTGTGCGTGTGTGTGTTTGCGTTTGTGTTTGCGTGTGCGTGTGTATGTGTGTGTGTGTATGTATGTGTGTATGGGTGTGTGTGATGTGTGCACGACCATCCCTACGCTCTTCACTTGAATAAACTCTATGCACGCACACAACACACAGTGAACAAGGGCAGGAGGATGTCGTGCTTCGACTGTCCGGGCTTGAGGCCTGTTTCGAGTTATTTAGTGCATGTCTTCGCAGCTCAGCACGGTCAGCGAGCTCTATGAGTCCCTGTCATTTATGGATCGAAGAAGCGGGCTGATGTTGCGCACTTCTGTCTTGCTTTCTTATCTTAATTTATGTATC